GATGCGATCCGGAAGTCCTTGATCATGCTGTGGTCGGGGGAGGTGGTGATCAACGGGAAGGGCCTGAGGGGATGGAGTAGCGCGCGGAGGGCGATCAAGAACGAGATCGTTCGCGCCAACATGAGTCTCCTCAAGAGGGCCTGCGGAGTCGACGAGGTAGATTCCATGGAGCCAGACGCCGTGGCCGACGCCATCATGGAGCACTTGGCATCCCGCCACGACGACGACGGCTCGATGGAGCCCCCCGAGGAGAAGAGCCCCGCGAAGCTGGCTGTCGAGGAATTCCTGACGGGCAGCAGAGTTCACGACATCATGAAGTTTGTGAGCTCCAACCCGTACGACGGTGCCCTGAACTTGTCAGCGAACTACCAGGCTGTGATGCGGTTGGCCATGCACAAGCTGAATCAGCAAAAGGACGACACTTGGCGCTTTCCTGATGTATTCAACCTCTTGCTGCCTTTGGTGTACAACAACTTCAGCGTCAGCCTCATCACCGCCGGGACGCTCACCATCAAATACTTCCACGATGCGGGGGACATTGACTCCGAGATCGCGGATATATTCTGCGGGCTTTTCGAGAATCTGACAACCTTGGAAAGAGCAATTTCCTTCAGGTCGCGCTGGGTCTTGGACGGCGTGAAGTATTTGACGACGGGGGAGCATAAGGTCACTCGCCTGAGCGCGGATGCATTCTTCGAGGCCCTCAACGCCAAGGGTGGCAAGCTGCTGAACGACCTCGGGGCTGCGGATGCACTGTGCAAGACCCTCCACAAGTTTCAGGCTTTCTGGAACAAGGTCGCGTGCGCTTCGGAAGAGCGCAGCACGCGGGACCAGTGGGACATCGACATCAACAAGCAGCTGAACATGCTTGCGCCGTCGTTCCTTGAGAGTCAATCGGTAGGAGCTCAGCAGGCAGCTCCTCAGGGGGAGACGGCGCCGCCTGCGCCGCCAGCCCCAGCCGCGGCGGCAGAGGAGCCGAGGGGGGCAGAGGATACGCAGGGAGAGCCGGAAGGGGGCGATGCGGCGGCTGCTGTCCCGAAGGAGGAGCAGATCAATAGCAAGTTCACGTCTATCATGAGCGCGCGTTCAGTCTACAAGGGCCCAGGCGATGTCACTATGTGTGATCAGTTGTTGTACGCCTTCAGCAACCGCGTCCACTCCTTCATCATCGAAATGGCATGCAACGGCCGCAGCCTCACTGAGAAGCACGAGGGAGGCATCGATGTTCCAGTATTCGAGGGCGATATGTGTTTGGGGACGGTGGGCAGCTACCTGGAAGGCCCGGAGCTGTTCTCGGAGGTCCCTATCGATGAGTGTTTGCGGCTTACCTTTACTGGCGATGTCGTTCGGGCCCCTCGCAAGGACGCGTTGCCCATCTGCGAGGTCTTCGGGATCACTTTCTACATCGTTCCGCCGACGGGCCCCCTGACGTGCGATTCCACCTGTCCTGCCTGGTCGGTCGCGCTGTTGAAGCCGAAGCCGAAGGCGAAAGGAAAGGCCAAGGCTAAGCCGAAGGCGCAGCAGGCGCAGCAGTCGCAGCAGTCGCAGCAGTCGCAGCAGTCGCAGCAGGCGCCGCCGCCCCAGCAGCTCGAGGATGACGTACCCAATATGAAGGTTGAGACCAGCAAGCACACGATTGAGTACGGCTGGAACCATTACAACACCATGCAGAAGATCGACGTGGAAGTGACGCTCTACCAGCTCGTCAAGGACACGTCGGCGCCGCCAGCCACGGCCACGCACGGCAACTACGCGAAGCTGACGCGCCCGCCCATCCCTGGCCAGTGCACGCAGGCGCCGAAGGTTGACAAGGGGAAGGGGAAGGGCAAGGGCGAGAAGGACAACACGTGGAACGCATGCAAACACTTGTTGCGCTGAAGGCTGAAGGCCTGGATGATCCACCTAGGCTGAGCTCGTATCCTGTGCAGCCTGTGCAGTAGTGTTCACGCGCTGGCGCGAGATCCTTCGCCTGGGCGACGGCATGCAGGGCTTGTTTTTTCCTCTGCTCTAGTTGTTCGGGGCGTCGGCGAGCAGCGAGCATGCGCTGCCGACGACCGTGTATACCACCGCACTTTCGCATGCCCGTCGCCCGTCACTTCGGCGGCAAGATTGCCCCACATCTGGCCTTGAGTGCGTGTCTGCCGGCGGGGTGTAGCCACTGGGCAGGTTTGGCCAGATGTGCGCGGTGCGAGTTTGGAGATCATTGATCTGAGATCATCGTAACATGTGGTGACAGCAGATAGTGTGGAAGCGTTCCTCCTTCCCCCCGCCTTCCTCCCCCCCTCCTTCCTGCCCCCTTCCCTCCCCTCCCCCCTCGTGCAGATTGTGGGGCCGTCCGACGGTTCCGAGAATCGGGCAGCCCACATCGAGATCGGCTTCGCCTCCTCCCCCCCCTCCTCCTCCCTCGTCCTCCTCCGCCGTTCCCCGCCCTCCGACCTCGCCCCTCTCGTCGTCCAGCTTTGGACCAATGAAATGAGTCGAAATGAGTCCGTTGGCTCCGAGAATCGAATTGGCGTCTCCGAGATCGGCTTCGCCGCTTCGCCTTCGCCTTGTCGTTCGTCATCCTCCTCCTCCTCCTCCTCCTCCTCCTCCTCCTCCTCCTCCTCCTCCTCCTCTTTCGTTCTCCTCCACCGTTCTCAGAATCGACGGCTCCGAGATCGGCTTCGTCGACGTCGTCGTCGTCGTCGTCGTCGTCGTCGTCGTCGTCGTCGTCGTCGTCGTCGTCGTCGTCGTCTGCTCGTCGTCGTCCACCCCCGGCGGCCGGCGGCGCCGCCCTGCCCCGCGGCCGCCCCCGCCGCGGCCCCGCCCCGCCGCCCCGCCGCCCCGCCGCAGGAGGAGGATGATAGGATTTGGGAGGGCGAAGTGAGGGGAGGATTAGGAAGATGAGGAGGGGGAGGGGGGGAGGGAGGGAAGGAGGGGGGGAGGTGGGGGATGGGGGTAGGAGGAAAAGGTGGAGGAAGAGGAAGGGAGAGAAAAATGAGGAGGAGGAGGGAGAAGGTTCGCCTAGTTAGGGGCAACAAAAAAACGTTCCCCTGCTAAAGGTCAGGCAGAACTTGACGGGATGTTTCAGGTCAAATTATTATTGGCCCCTTGTGTGTGGATCAGAAAATCAGGAAGATATCGGCGTTGTCGTCGTCGTGTTCCTCGTCCTCGGTCCTCTTCCTGCTCCTTCTGCTCCTCGCCGTCTCACCCCCTCCCCCTCCGCTCCTAGTGCCCCCACTGGCGCCAGGGGGCGCCATTCGGAGGCGAGCGTCGCCGAAGGACCCTTCGGAACCCATCCTGCCCGAAGGCCAGCAGATCGACCTGGGACCAGCCAAACAACACAGATGGACATCCCCATGTCCCTCTGCAGGAGGAATATCCAAACCTAGTACAAACATCGTCAGGGGACTATTTTTGGTTTTTTTTGATTATCTTATTGAACATTGTTGACCGTTTTTTATCTTTCGTCCACAGTCCGCCTGTAGGGGGACATGTTGTTTTGTTCTGTTTGCATTCCGGGCGAAGCGAAGGCAAACTATGAACAACGAATCACAACACAAGCACGATTTTCCCTGTTCGGGTGCAGCCCTGGTGAATGTGGGGCGGGGGCGAGGACCAGGGGGAGGTCGTCCAACGAGGGGCGTCCACGAGGGGGCTCGCGACTGGCGAACGCATGCACGCCCGCGCCCTCTCTCGCGGCCCTGTGCCTCCGCGGCGCGACCCCCTGGGTGCGCGGTCGCACGGAGGCGCCGTTTTCGCGGGGCGTCCGCGAGAACGGCGCCCGGCGTCCGCGGGGTCGCGGCTCGGGGGTCCAGCCCGCGAGGCCGTGGATACGGATACTCCAGATGTCACAATAAAGGGGGGTGGTCTGATTTGGGATGGGGTCAGATTTGAGCTGTTTTGGAGGGTTCCAGTAGGTATGGGCAAAAAGCCGCCCTTCATGGCTTGTGTGGGGGGGTCTGGAATTGCCCGTCTGTCAGGGTTGTGACCCCTCCCTTTTACGGCGAAATCTGTAGTATGCCTTCCGCCCACGAGAGGACGCTGTGCGAGGACTGGGTCGAAGCAGAAAAACAGCATAAGCATGAGTGTTTGGCGCTCCGCGCGGACCTGCCCGGACTGCTTCAATCCCGGCTGGAATTTGGGCATCGAGGTCCAGGGGCTATTTTTTGTAGCCCTCATGGGAGGTTCGGGGACGAGGGGGGGGGTTGCTTCGGGATGCTTTCCAGCAGCTGCCTCTCGTCGAGGGAGCTCTCCGGGGAGGTGCCCGCCTCGTCCCCGAGCGGCCGCCGCAGGCCCGATCCCAGCTCGGAAGCCACCGTGCGCCGAGGGGGGTGAGGACCAGAGGTGTGTGTGTGTGTGTGTGTGTGTGTGTGGGTGTGGGTGTTTGTGGAGCTCATGGCTGGGACCATCAGACTTCATGGCTCTACTTCTTCTTTTTCTTCTTCTTCTTCTTCTTATTCTTCTTCTTGTGATTATTGTTATTCTTATCGTTAGCAGTATTACTATTATTGTTCGTGTTACTATTTTAAGTATTATTATTATGATGATTATTACGATTATGATTATTCTTATTACTATTATTCTTTGTATTAGTACTATTATTGTTGATATTATTATTCTTCGTATTAATATTATTAGTATTATTATTGATATACGTATTATTATCATTATTATTATCCGTATACATATTTCAATAATATTATTAGTATGTTTCTTCGCCCTGTTCTTATTACTATGTTTCTTATGTTTCTTATTTTTGCAGTTTCTGATCATGTGTCTTCTTCTTCTTCTCCCTCCAGTGCGTTCTCGGCCCCCCTTGTCCGCGCAGATGCCTCGGGCCATGGTGCGCTGACCCCCTTTCGGCGGCGCGCCCAGGGGCGGAGTGAGAAGGGGCGGGCCTTAGAAGGCTCGGACGTCCCCAGAGCTTCCGAGAAGATTGCCGAGCCTTCCCCGAAAACAGAGAAAACTGTTCAGAAGGCGCGGGGGCTTCTGAGCATCCCCGCCGCCTTCTGAGAGGGCCTCCTCCTCACTTCCCCCCCTCGCTCGCTCGCTCGCCGCCGCCATCTCGGCTCAGGCGGGCGCTGGCGGCGCCTGCTATTCGTCTACCGCCTCCATGGTACCTTAGCGGCCCATCGGGGGCTTCCATGTCGACGTAGGGGCCAGCCATGCACTTCGTGGTGAGTCATGTCCCTGCCGCCTTGCGGGCAGCCGCTCTGCACATCGGCCTCCGTGCCTCCGACCGCACGGGCACCGTCAGGGAGGACACCCACGCTGAGGAGGGGCACATGTTCGAGAACTGGAGTCTCAATTTCTATCCGATGCTGATCGCCCCGCTGCTGGCGGTCACCCTGATCTTGGCGTGGCTGGCGCGCCCGTCCACGACGGAGGTCCGCAGAATAATGAAAGCCATAAGCAGAATCTTTTGGGCGCTTCGCGCGGATCCAAGAAGGCTTTTTTGTTTTAGAAATTAAATTTCACAGTGGGGGCCCATGCCAAGAACCACCCTGCTTGCCTCCAGGGTGCCCTGGGTTTCTTGGGTGTCGAGGGTTTTGCGATGGAATGCGTGACGTTCCCGCACCCAACAGGAATGGGCGTCCCGGGGTCTCAGGGCTGTTTTTTTTGTGGAAGGTTTCTTGTGGTCGGACCCCTAGTGTATGGCGTTTTCCTTTCTTTCAGAGGTGGTTCCGCTGGGCTTTCGCAGGTTCCAGCTGACGTACCTCTCCGCCTGGGGCCTGTGCGTCGCGGCGGACTGGCTGCAGGGCCCGTACGTCTATGCTTAGGTCGGGCATGTCCTCCTACACGCGGATTTTGTACGACAAATAATCATAGTCAGAAGATCGTCCCCATATTATTTTCTGACTATTTTTGAATGTTCCTCCTGTAGAGGGACAGGCCCGACTTAAGTCAATGCCATCTATGCCGAGTACGGCTTCAGCAAGCAGGACATCGCTGCGCTTTTCGTGATGGGTTTTGCTTCTTCTATGGTGTTCGGCAGCGTCGTCGGCATCATCACGGACCGCTACGGTCGAAAGCGGTGCGCGCTTCTCTACTGCGGGTTGTACGTCGTGTCCTGTGCTACGAAGCATTTTAAGAATTATCAGATTTTGATGGTTGGCAGGTTCACTGGCGGTCTGGCAACGTCGCTATTATTTTCCTGCTTCGAGTGCTGGATGGTGTCCGAGCATGTCGGTCGCAAGAAGTTCTCCACGGGCCTCCTTTCGTACATGTTCGGCCTGATGTACTCGACCATGTACTTGGTGGCCATCGTCAGTGGCTTCGTGGCCGGCGTGGTAGCCGAGGGTTTCAAGCTGCATCCGCTGTGGGAGGGATCGATTGTTCATGTGGGCGGTGACACTGGACCTTTTGACCTGGCAGCAATCTGCCTCATTGCAGGTGCCGTGTTGATTTCGCTCACGTGGGAGGAGAATTTCGGCGAAGATAACGCCGAGCAGAACGACAAGATGCTGGCAAGATTGGAAGATGCTTTCTCGCTGTTCCGGAGAGATGCGCGGATACCCCTGCTCGGTGCTATCGTTGCTTGCTTCGAGGGAGCCATGTACGTCTTCATCTTCAATTGGTCCCCAGCCTTGAAGAGCGCCGTGATCCCGCCACCTTACGGGCTCATCTTCTCGTTGTTCATGATGGCCTGCATGTCCGGCACATCCGTGCACACCGCGATGGCCGAGATCATGCGGCCGACGTTCCGGCTCTTCACAGTCTTCCTGTTGGGCATGGCTTCGCTCGTGACGGTCTCCGTGCTCCTCGGCGAGACGTCTTCGGCAGAAGATCCAGCTCATGGGCAGCACCTCATGGCCATCTTCCTGGCGTTCCTGCTCTTCGAGTTCGCGATCGGGGTCTACTTCCCCTCGGTCGGCATCCTGAAGAGCGAGGTGGTCCCCGAGCGCATCCGGAGCACGGTGTACAACGTCTACCGCGTGCCCCTGAACGCCGTGGTGGTGGGCCTGCTCCTGTCCGACGTGCCCCTGGTCCACTGCTACGCCCTCTGCGCCTGCCTCCTGGGCGTGGCCTTCGGCGCGGCCGCCGGCCTGGTCGTCCTCGACCGGAGGGGCAGCCTCGCGGCGCTCGGGGAGGGGCGGGGCGCCCGCAAGCTCCCCTGACGGGGCGGGCGGGCCGGGCGGGCCCATGGGGCGCGCCCCTGGCCGGCTGCGGCGGCAGAGGGCCTTGGCCGGTTGGCCGCCGCATCCTTCCCTCCCTGGGGGGGGTCGGAGCAGAGGGGGTGGGAGGGCATCGCGCCGCGTCGCCGAGGCGTCGCAGAATCCGGCTCGACGTGGGGCCCGATTTGCTTCACGTCGACAGCGCCGAGACATCGCCGACAGTCGACTACAAGTCGCGGGTGCATCGCCAGCGCATCGCCGATACATCGCCGATGTATCGGCGGTGCGGCGCGATCCTCCGACCCCATCTACTCCTACCCTATTTGGGAGGCCTCTAGTTGGGCAGCAGGGGCACCATGCCGCATGCCTCACTGCTTGTTCTTACAGTGGAGGCCCATGCCAAGAAGGACCCTGCTTGCCTCCAGGGTGCCCTGCGTTTCTTGGGTTTCGATGGTTTTGCGATGGAAAGCGTGACGTTCCCATACCAAGAATCGATGGACGTCCTGGGGTCTCAGGTTTGGGTTTCTTGTGGAGGGTTTCTTGTGGACTGGCCTCCACTGTATCGTCTGTCTGGTGGCGGCGCAGTTTGTGGGAGCCGTCGGCTACCGCGCGCGGCGCAGGCGCCGAGCGGTGGCGGTGGCGGTGTGCGAAAGGTTCGGCGGCGAGCGAGTGTGGGAAGTGGGAGGGGGCGGGCCTTCTCAGAAGGCTCGGAAGTCCCCCGGCCTTCTGAGAAGCTTCCTAAGCCTTCCCCGAAGGCACACATAGCTTCTCAGAAGCCGCGAGGGCTTCTGAGAAGTCCCGCCGCCTTCCCTTCTCCTTCTCAGTTCCCCCCGCTTGCTCGCCGCTGAAATCCGAAACGTCTTCTGTCTCCTGAGCTTGCGGCCTTATCGATCGAGATGAATGGCGCGTTTTATAGGCCTCCCGCGTCCAGTCGCAAGGCCGCGCGACTCTCTGAGATGTGCATGTGTGCATGTGAGGTTTTGCTGCAAGCCGCCCACTAGAGAGGGCAATCTTTTGGGACGCGATGGTGGTTGGCTCCGCGACGCCTGCGGTGACAAAAAGAGGAAGGCGCAAAAATCCCAGGGCTTCTGAGAAGCTTCCTGGGCCTTCCCCGAAGGCACCAAAAGCTTCTCAGACGGCCGGAGGGCTTCTGAGAAACCCCGCCGCCTTTGAGAGGGCTTCCTCCTTGTCACTCCCCACTCCCCCCCTCGCTCGCCGCCGACCCTTCTTCCTGGCCCTTCTTATTTGTCTTATGTGTCTTCTTTTTCTGCTTCTTCTTCTTTTTCTTCTACTTCTCATTGTTTTTAGTGCTACTATTTGTCTTCTTATGCTTCTGTTTCTTCTCATGCTTCTTCTTCCAGCGAGTTCTTTGGCCACGGCTGGATCCACCTCGAACAACGGGCCTCGAACAAGGGACAATTCTGAGGAGGAAACTGTACCCATCCCGCTACCCTTGCCTCGTTGTTCCCCTTTTGGGCCTCCTGGGAGGCCCTCGTCGCCACCGCTGGATTCGCCTCGAAGTTCTGGTCAGAACGTACCCCAGGAGGGGTTTGGGCAGTAGCTGCATCGGTACTGTTGGTTTCCCCCCAAACTGCACATCAATTTTCGGAGCTCCGCCCGGAGCTAGGCAGTTGATGTTTGTGCAGTTCTTCTTCCAGTGGAGAATCGGGTTTGGAGGGCAGGGCTCGAGCCAAACGGTGTTCTGGAGATTTCGTGGACCGTTTTCGTTTTGATGCCGTTTCGCAGCAAAGGCAGAACGGAGACAGAACGAAGGACAACGAAACGAAACGAAAGCGAGAATCGCTGTTAGGCTCGAGCCCTGCTGGAGCGGTCCCTGGGGGGGGTGCGGGGGCCGATTCTGAGCAGAGGCGGGCTGGTCCGTAGAGCCGCCGTCGTCTCACTTGGCCAGCCTCCGAGTGGAGGGACCGGGGGTTTCGACCAGTGGACCGACAACAGCCCCTGCCAGTGCCGCCGATCCGGGGGGCTCTGGATTCGGTGATCTTCGCGGCTCTGTGGCCTCCTCCCTCCTCGATTCTTCCGGTCCTCTTCCTTCTCCTCTGGGGGGGTGCTTGGAGCGGTCCCGGGGGGGGGTCCGGGGAGGGTTCGAGGGGAGGGTCCTGGGGGCGGGGCTCTGAGTAGTGGATCGGCTACAGCATTGATTTGGCCCCAAATTAATTTCCCCCATCGAGTCTGCGACGGCTGCGTAGAATGTTCACACATCTCCTGAGAATTCCAAGTATGCTCCGTATGTTCGACGAGGAGCAATAATTTTCGGGAGGGGAAAAACACACAGACACAAGTATTCGTCGATTCCCAGAAAATATACGAAAATATGGGAAGTCGGGGGGAAAACAGACACCCAGCAAATATTGGAAAATATGGGGAATCTTTTTTATTTGTGTGTATTTATTTGTGTGTCCCAGGGCCCCTTCAAATGTTGGGGCAGATCAATTCTGTAGTCGATCCCCTGCTCGGGGGTTGCGAAGTCTTCTGCGGGCAGCGGTTGCCTGCTCCGCCGCGGGGTCCCTCTCTGCAGGACACGAGCGCCTTTTGGTTCGGGGAGGCGCCGGGGGAGCCCAGCTACGTGAGCGCTGCCCCTTTATACTAACCCATCTTTACGTCCAACTCCTCCTCCTCTTTCTCCTCCCCCGCTCCTCCTCCGCACCCCCCGCTCGTCCTCGTCGTCGTCTCTTCCTCCTGCTCCTCTTTCTTGTCCCTCTGCTCCCCCTCAGTGTTCACCTCCATCTCCTCACCCTCCTCCTCCTCCTCCTCCTCTTCCTCCTCCCCCAAGAATGGGGACGTTCACAAAGCCCCCCGCGAGGCACATCTCTCCTCAATGCACGAGCGCGTGTGGCTTCAGGAGGTGCCAGGAAAATCCGACCTCGTGGGCTGATTCGCTGCCCTCTTCTACTAACCCGTCTTTTCGTTCGGTCTTCCTTCCGAGGCATCTGTCTCTCTCTCTCTCTGTCTATGTACTCACCGCCTGGGGAACCGATCGTCCTGGTCTTCTCGAGAAGCAAACGCAAACAACTACATACACATGTGCCAGCGTTGACCCCAAACAATGAACTGTTGCACTGTTCGGCCTCAGGAGGTGTGTTCGCCCATTGTGTGTTTATCCCGTTAAACCCAACCGGTAGATCATTGCATTGTTTTCGTCGTAGTGAAGAGCTTCAATGGGCAAACACAAGTTGGCGCTAACACACGCTTTGAAGTTCAACGAAGTGTGGATGTGGAATTTACATTACGCAGGCCATGTGGTGCAAGTTCTGTGATGCAATACTTACGTGATGCACGCTGTGTGGCGGAAACTTTGCGGTGCAATGTGTGTCGCCCACGCTGTGCGGTGCAAGCCATGCGGTGCAAGCCATGTGCGTGTGTGTGTGTGTGTGCCTGTGGAATGAGCTGTGTGGTGCGAGCCGTGCGGTGCGAGCCGTGTGGTGCAAGCCGCGTGGTGCAAGCCGTGCGGTGGAAGCTGTGCGTCGCAGGCCGCGTGACCACCCTCTGGACGCCGAGGCGGTGCCCGTTCGTGTGGGGCGAGCCGTGCGGCCGCTCACAGGCCGCCCGCGAGGCTCCCGCGGCGCGGGCACCCCGGGCGACACCTCGGTTCGCTCGCTCATGCGCACGAGGCCCGCGAGGCGCCACTGGGCGCGCACCAGGCGACAGACAGGAGGATGATGATGAGGATGAGGATGAGGATGAGGACGAGGACGAGGATGAGGATGAGGATGAGGATGAGGATGAGGATGAGGATGAGGATGAGGATGAGGATGAGGATGAGGATGATGATGATGATGATGATGCTGATGATGATGATGATGATGATGATGATGATGATGCTGATGATGATGATGATGATGATGATGATGGTGATGATGATGATGATGATGATGGGATGAGGAGGAGGAGGAGGAATAATAGTAATAATAATAAATAAATAATTTAAGAATGCTACTACTACTATTATTAATAATAATACGAACAAGAATAATAATACGAAGAAGAAGAAGAAGGAGAGGAGGAGGAGGAGGAGGAGGAGGAGGAGGGAGGAGGAGGAGGAGGAGGAGGAGGAGGAGGAGGGGAGGAGGAGGAGGAGGAGGAGGAGGAGAGGAGAGGAGGAGGAGGAGGAGGAGGAGGAGGAGGAGGATGGCGGCGGCGGCGGCGGCGGCGGCGGCGGAGGAGGAGAAGGAGGAGGAGGAGGAGGAGGAGGAGGAGGAGGAGGAGGAGGAGGAGGAGGATGGCGGCGGCGGCTCCGTAGCCATTTTGGCTCAAGCCTGCCTTGGGCGCCAGGCGGGCAGGTGCTCGCTTGGCCTCTCTCGTCTGCTGCTGCGCTCGAGAGCGGCTCAGTCTCCTTCCCCTTCCGCGGCCCCCCGCGATGGCGGCGAAGGATGGCCTGGACAAGGCGGTGGCTACGGTCTCGCCCCCAAGCGGGGATCTGGTGGCGGCTCTCGCCCCACTGGCTCGGGCGGCGGCAGCGGGGGCTGCGGAGGGCGGAGGTGGGCGGCAGAGCGTGGCGGCGGCTGTCGCTGCAGCCCTCCGCACGGGCGCCTCGCTGCTGGGCTTGCAGCAGGAAGTGCAGCAGGTGCCGCTCGGCGAGGCGGGCAGGCAGGAGGTTGCGACGCGCCTCCTTGCGATCGAGCGGGCGCTCAAGCTGCAGGTCGCGGGACTGCCCGTCCCAGGCGCGGTCCGCCTGGACCGCAACCTTGCGGCCCACGCCGAGCTCGGCGAGGGCGCCGGTGTCCTGGGCCTGCCGGTCAAGGAGAAGCGGTGCCGACAGCGTGGCCGCAGGCGCGGGCGCAAGCAGGCCGAGCGGTACGACAAGGCGGATGACACCTCGGAGACAGCCGACCCGTCTGAGGAGGCGGACTCGGAGAAGGTCTCCGTGGACTCCGCGGGGGAGGACAAGGTGCTGGCCGAGGTCGACAAGGCCATCCAGATCGACTCGGCGACGGACGCTGCTCATGGCGACCCTGTGCAGCAGCAGCCTGCCATGGGGCCCCACTCCTCCATGGTAGGTGACATCGACGGTGGGATGGACACAGTATTTGGTCACATCGCTGCGGGCGACCTCGCGCTGATCATGGCGCCAGACTCGGACTCGGAAGCAGATGTGGCCCACTCGGCGATGCTCGACCAGAAGGGCCGCGAGCTCACGCGGGAGGCGGCGTGGGAGGAGTACCTGGTGCTGGACTCCAGGGGCTCGAACCTCCCGCGCCACCTCCGCCCTCGCTTCGAGGAGCTGGAGGCCTTCCTCGGGATCGACGGGCACTGAACTGCCAGCCTTGCTTTTTCGCCGCTTTGCTGCAGGCTCTGCCAGCGGTAACAGACGGCATCGGAGCCAACAGGAGCCAACAGGATGGCGGCGGCGGCGGCGGTGGCGGCGGAGGAGGAGGAGGAGGAGGAGGAGGAGGAGGAGGAGGAGGAGGAGGAGGGAGTCGCTCGCCGCATCGCTCCGTTGTCGTTCCCCTCTCCCTCCCCGCTTCGCCCACAGGACCGGCTGCTTCCAGCTGCGGAGACCTCGTCGACGCGATTCGCGGCAGCGCCCCGCCTTGCAGTAGTGGCAGTTGGTGTTCGGGGGAGGCACGGTGGATTGAGGGAGAAGAGGGCCCCGTGGTGATCTACCAACAGTGTCCGCGTCCCCAGGGATAGCTG